AGGATTGTGCGCAAACTCTTAAACAGTAGATCAATGAGCTGGCATTTATCGGTGTTAATATATCTAACTTCAATTGATCTATGATCTTGCACAATTGATCATCCATTGTCTGAAGTAGATAACTGTTTCACTGTTGAAAATTTCCATACTAGGACGAGAAGCTGGTTCATCGCTTCTTGGTTTTCATTGATAAGTATGACAACATAAACTGTTATTGATTTGAGAGTATGTAAATAAACTTGACAAGTTACTTACTGAAGAGTTCTACATTGTGACGAAAAAACACAGTTAAAACGGTGAGATTACTATTCATGGACAACTTTGAGTGACGTTAAAGTGACCTTGAGATTGTGAACCTAGTAACTATGACGAAATAAAGTTTATAAATCTGTATGAGGAGTTAACATTATGATTTACAGTTAATGGTTAAGGTTAGGAATTCGATTTACGGTTTTTATCACAAAGTGACATCAGGTAAGATGCCAAAATGCTATTTAGTCAAATGTATGAATGAATTTTGCGTCAAAGTTCAAGATCTGATATCTTAAATCTGATTGGTTCGTTCATAAATTGTAGTCTCACTATTGAAATTGTGATATTTTCACACTACCCATTATACACCATGTAGCTGAGAAATTGATCAATACTGATTAATTTTGATACGGTATATAATCAAAGTATTTATTACATAATACTTTACTGATACTACTGGTTTACAACAAAAACAACATAGGAGAACAACAGAATGAAAGAACCATCGATTGCTTCAATGGTGGTCTAACATCAGTCGATTTATGATCTGGATCAAACAACATCATCATCTCCACAATCTCATACTGATATTTCATTTTTATGAGTCAAACCAACTGTATTAAAAGAATAATTTTCCCTTATTTTTCATTACTTTGGTTACAAATCTTATGAATTATAAACTTACTGCCATGATAGTTCTGTTCTAAAAATTAAAAAAGTGTTATATATATGTATATATATATATATATATATATATATACATATATATCAAAGCATCATAAGTTGTTGCTATGGTGATAACATATTTTAGATCCAATCGATAGATGAATCCTTCTCGTCATAGATTCTAAAGTTATTATTGTAATATAGAAGAAATAAAACACAGTTTGTTTGTAATTTAGAATGTTGGTTTGGTTGATAAATCACGGTTCTCTTATTAGCGGTATCATCACATTAAACATTGATAAGCGTACAAACCAACAAGTCATAACAAAGTCAAACTAATCTTTGTATAAATAGTGTTTAGAGATACTTCAAAGATAAAAATATGTACGTACATGTATTAACAGTGATAGTTAATATCCAAAGAAATATGACTCTTTATGAAGTACCTTGTTTCCGCGTATTCATGAAATTCATATTATTTTAGTCATTTTGAGCAATAATGAGAATATCAATGAACGGACTTACGTTTGATTATTTTCTGCTTTTAGAAGAAGTGGTAACTGACTGATTAGTATTGTATTCCTGATTTGATCTCACTTAGAATACTACTGAAAACCTGAAAGAATTAAATGGCTGTTTCGTCCAAGTATTAGGATGCTTCAACAGTGCATATTCATGATCTTGTACACAGGACTTGAACCCAAATCATGAGATTACAAATAACTCATAGAAATAAACTTGAAAATAGATACAATGATGGATAGTGGCTAGCAATGGAATCCAAGATGCGCGTTTCGTCATCCTCATGTGCCTGCTCCTCAGTTTTGTTGTCCACTCTGTATCATTCACTTCAAACGCCATTACTGAGTCCTAATATCCACTTGATTATGCAATAAGATGAAGTTTTAAATTCAATTCCTCAATGTATGCACATAAACCAATAAGAGACTGATCAATTGAAATCCTATACATCAATGAGAAGATTCAAAGAAACAATGTTGTTACTCACTAGACTCACCACTTTCAGTCTGTGCGGACTGGAATGTTTGAAATACAAGAAGTAAACCAATTATTATGATAATCATCAATTCAAGTAATGGTTAAATTGAACTAAGAAGCATTTCTTTTAAATGTCAAGATTTATATATATCACCAATTATTCAATTCATTCCAATTTGGTTATCAATAACCATCTTATTAAACTAATCAGGTATATGATTAGCTTATATGACAGTTTATCTGACATATATTGCACAATAATAAAGGTATATTTATGTATTATACATTAGGTGGATGTATGTAATTGTATATTGGGAGGTGTAGTAAACATTTCAGATTTTCTGTTGGTCTTTCTAAGTTATAATTATTCTTCTATGTTTTGTTTTGAAAACAAAAATGTTTCACTTCATTTAATCATGACATTCCTTCAATCAAACTGACAAATGTTTGTCTGATCTGTTTGTTACGAATCGCTGTGCCTTCAAATATCTTGGTACGGCTAGGAGTGTGGAGAGTGCACTCTCACTCTAGAAATGCTCTCACATGGCCACACTTATACAGTCACTGTCGTGGAAGTCCTACTCAATGTCTTCTCGAGGCAAGGGTGTTGTTCACTAAATGTCTGGTGCTTTAACCGTGTGAGTGGACGGAGAGGGTTTAACGAAGGGAGTAGGAAAACCCTGATTCTAAACCAATGGTATACAAATAGCTTATGAACGAATTGTTGATCACCTGTTACTTTTAGATCGAAGGCTTCGGTTGTGGCCTCCTAAAAATACTACCTGCTTCGGTCAGGGCAGCCGGGTAGTATAACTACCCACATACAAATCAAATGACTTGGGTTGGCGCATATGTATTCGGCGCTTCTTTATATCAATATTTATGTGTTTAAATAAATAAATAAATCTCCGTAGTGTTCATGATACAAATAGACCTCACTAATGATCTAAGCTGTCTAACTACTGGAAATGTTTATGTTCATAATTAAAGATTCATCCAGTGATTATCAGCTATCATGACGAAACAGCTTAGTGTATTATTTAAGTGCAGTTATTAGCCATGGAAACTAATTTCGTGTCAGGGATACTACCTCTAACTCAGAGTCTGAAAAAGGCGGAAAAATGAAAATTTCGCAAATACGATAAAAATGATCTTGGTGGTCTAGTTATAGTATCCTGATACCAGACAATAGGTTTTAAGCGTTATTTAAGCCCTATTGCTTCAGGCTGGGCTATTTTGCTTACTACCCTACATGTGTGTGGTATGCAGTATAAACTATATGGCTATGTAGAGTAGAAGGCCTCATATGATACTGAAGGTTCACCATTGATATTCTGGATAGTTCAACATTACTTTGGCAAGTTTTGCTGACTATTCATCCCCAAAACTGGTTTGCTGGTTAACTAATTTCATTCATACTGGTGGTTGCTTCCCAGTATTCTCATAAGCCATTGTCTTTGGGACATGTCGCCATTGCTATCATTGATGAGTTTGACTGTCGTGTAAGCGGAATAAGTCAGATGGGACAAATAAAGGTGAACAAGAACATTCCAGAAATAGACAAACTAAACAAATCAAAATAAAAAGTTATTTTAAAATAGAATTAAGGCAGAACATCAGTATATACATACATTCTATTGATCAATAGAGTATCCGTATAGTTCTTAGCAACAATCGTATTCTGTCCACCAAGTTGCGACGTGCTCACTAGTCAAAATGACTTGACATACAGTGCACAATGTTGAGATTCCAGTTGGTCGAAGGTAGTCAACAAATAAGCCTGGGCATAAGTTTCATGTTAGTTGAGATTTCCTAGTCTGACTACCTGCAACCGTAAGGGAATTGATAATTCTCTGTCTTGTATGAGCCTAACCAAAGCTTACGCTCAGTAATGGTGACTATAGGAGTGATTGACGTTGGTTCATATTCAACAGGGAACATCAATTTCTTTGCAGATTTTATTTATATTATGCTGACGAGTGTCAAGCAGAGCAGATTTATGGTCTACAAGTGACTACGTCCAACCACTCACTAGGCTCATTTATATGTCGGTTGTATTAGTTGTTATAACAATCCTGGATGTAAATAGTAATGTAGTGTATGACATCGGATCGACTGTTATATTATATGATGATTGGCAAATTAAGTACACTATTCCTGCAGTCGAACAATATATGAAACTCAAAACAATCATCAACCAATTTCTTAGTCAGAATCTTCAATACGAACATCAAGACATTCTTAATGTGCAGAGCTGAAAAGTGGAGAACTAAAACAACCATCATCAAGAAGGTATAAGTAGTTATAAGCAACTGTGTATGTAAGATTCTCAACATCCCATTGGCCAGATACCATCAACAACAGCCTTCTGTGAGAGAGAACAAATCAGCTTCCAGTTGAAGAGGAAATTAGGAAAAGAGGATACATACATTACGCAAATCATCAAGCTGCATAACGAGACAAGCCCTAACTTGGAATCCTGAACGGAAACAGAAAAGTGAAAGGCAAAAGAATACATTACGTCGGGAAATAGAAGCAGATATGAAAACGATGAATAGCAACTGGCAAGAACTGGGATGGTATGCTCAAGACAGGGTTGTATGGAGAATGCTGGTGATCGGCCAATGCTCCTGTACTAGGGGAAACAGGAGTAAGTAAGTATGCAAGTAAGCTTTAAATTTGTTTGTTATGACAACTCAGTACAACTAACACAGGATTATTCACTGATGAATCACCACTTAATGTCAAGATCCCTTTTGTTCAAATCCTTGCAGGGTTTTAGATACGTACGACTAAACAGACTTATACTAGCGTGAAACAACTACCTGATACTTTGTTTTTCAGCTTAACTCCGACATTACCAACCACCAATGTCTCTATCGATCATTATTGTTATTATTGTTATTGTTTATCAATCATTATCAGTGTTTTGTAAAGGATAATGAATGTTTTCTAACATCTCTGTTAGACATACAGAATTGTACTGACTGACATACACAATAGAATGAAGAGACCTCTATTCTGTTTGGATTGATTCACTGAAAATACATATATTTAATTTAATGTATTTAAGTAGTTTACAAGTTTATACTTGTATTGAATTGAAGTAATGATTCCTTTCATTATAGCTCTATTACTTCTATTACAATCATGTAACTCTGGTTCATCATCTAAGTGTAAACGTATGTTCTACCATTGAATATTTACAACTATGCTATTATAATCAGATTGATTTATGCTATGATACTTGAGATGGTGGAGAAGATTCGTAGCTCAGCTGGTTGATTTTGCTAGAATTTTGTTCTCTGAGCTGGACATCATCAGCACAAACTTCAGTGTTGATGATGTCGTTCAGAAGAACGATGAAAGCTCCACGACCAAACTATCCAACTCAGAGAACAAAAACTCCACCAAAAAGCTAGGATACTTACTAATCCATTTAAAATGCTAAAATAACTGAATTCCTATATCATTAACATATGAAATCAACAATCTTTTTTTATGACAGAAGAGCAGTAAGTTAATTTGTTGATATTCTACACTTCACTTTGATTAAAAGTTTGAATATACTGAAAAGTATTATGTTCTTGATTGGGATTATGGATCGTTTAATGTTGAATCACCATTGTAAACTTGGAAGCACCAGACGGTTGTCTCGTCCTGTTTTGTGACTCATCAGTAGTGTTCATCCGCGAACACACTTGCAGGACTCGAACGTAAGGCATTCGGTCTTGCAAACGAACACTTAACCCCTAGACCACTGAAGCGGCCGACATATCTGACGTTAACAAATTCACGGAATTGTGCGACCTGTCTCTGCCAGACACAGAATAGCTACACTGGTTGCAATTTCTCATGAGAATTCCCCTACGAAGGTAGTCACTAATGGGTTTTTAAATCAATTACTCATATTGTATACCTTCGACACTTTGACTTCATCGATTTCGGAATAATTCACCTAATGTGTACCATAAATCTATATACTTTGATATAATTGAATTCTCAATTTATATAGATTAAAGTTGACTTCATGCGTTGATCTAAGCTGGAACATTATCATAAACATGGAAGCTTAGAACAATTGTTTTGTCTTAGTATGGATCTTTTCAAAAGCGCGTATTCACTATCCTACACGTACGACTCAAACCCATGACCTTCGGTCTCAAGCGCGAACTCTTAACCTATAAACCACTGAGTCAGCATTCAATAATGTTAATGTCTAACACCACTTGACTCATAATCTTGCACACCTTTCCATCCATTATCTAAGATGGAAATGTATATCAACTGAAGATTAGAAAATGTTTTAATGTACACCTAATCATAATATCCTTTTTGTGTAAACTTTCTAATATATGAATAACATGGATACAGATATATTACATCACCATGGTATAGTTTCTCACAATGATTACCTATCTATATTTCTTTAAGGGGATCCTTTGGGTAAGTAACCGAATTTGTGTTTAGAAGAAATGTATAGTGTAAATGATTTAAAAAGTGGAATATTAATGAAATCAAAATTTCAATAGTTGAGATCATGGAACAGTAGAAGTTGGTCTAAAATGGAAAACCAAGAAGCACTGGATGACCGTTTCTTCCTAGTATGGGACTCCTCATCAGTGATCATCCATGATCTTGACTCGCGAGATTCGAACTCAGGACCTATCAGTCTCACGTGCAAGTGCTTAATCACTAAACCACTGAGCCAATCATCATCCAATAGTGTTAGTGTCTAGTTTCAACTAATCCACGAAATTGAGTGATATATCCACCACTGAATGAAATGGCTGTCCACTGATTCCAAATTTCCCATGGTGATCTAGCTTCAATTGACCCATTATGTCCATTTTTTAAACTAGAACAAAGGTGGAAATTATACAACTACCTGTATTCATTGTATATAGTTTGGAATGGATATACATTACTTTGTTATTATACTGTTGTTTTTAATGGGAGTCTTAATTTTAATGTTAAACTGTTGTATTTGTGGTAGAAAATTCTGGTCAATAGTGGAGTAAGTCACTTGTCAAACTAATTACTTGATCATATATCGATTGACATTTTACCTATAGGTATGAAATCTCATGACAATTGACTTACTTACTTACTTACGCCTGTTACTCCTCGTGAAGGAGCATAGTCCGCTCACCAGCATTCTCCATCCAACCCTGTCCTGGGCAATCCTTTCTAGCTCCGTCCAGTTGTAATTCATCGTTTTCATATCTGCTTCTATTATCCGACGCAATGTGTTCTTTGGCCTTCCTCTTTTTCGCTTCCCATCAGGATTCCAAGTTAGGGCTTGCCTCTTATAGGGTTGCTGCGGGTCCCAAGCCCGGGTAAAGGAGGAGGGTTGGGCATGGGGTTAGCGTCCCCATCCCGTAGAAAACTAACTCGCTAAAAAAACGCATACCAGAAAAAATAATCCAAAAAAATAAAATAATCCATGACAATTGAACTATCCTTTTTATCAATCCGTGACTAGTGGAGATATACCATGTCGGTTTTAAGGCAAAAGATGATTATTCAATATAGTGGATTGATTGAAGTGAGACATAAACATCGTTGGACATCTGCTTAGGAGTTTATAGATTAGACACTGATAAGTTGGGAGTGGAGATCTTGGATTGAAATCCCGTGTGCAGGACTGTGTATGCACACTGATGAAGAGTCCCATACTAGAACGAAACGGCCATCCAGTGTTTCGAGGATTTCAATACTGTTTTAGCTTAAATTAACTCATGAATTCAACTTTGAAAATCAAATAATTGTTTCATGCAATTTCACGTTCTTTTTGTTTAAAAAAACTAGGTTTGTAACTTGGTCGATAGGATTTGATCTGCATTAAGAAGGACCTGATATACATGATGTTGATCAACAGTCAGTGATCAATCAATTGTGAATACATCTCAGTCTTACAAGAGGTCAGTTGCTGCCCGGATAGCGCATTGGTAATAGCTCTGACTGTGAGGCTGAGTGACATGAGATTGAATCAATCAGGCAGCATTAGTCCCCTCAAGATTATAGGTACACCTTGCTGACGAGTGCCAAATAGTACGAAACCTGGTTCCATGGTTTCCTGTTGACTGTCTCCAACCACCATCTTATCTCAACATAGTGCAAACAATGTCCAGTCACCTAGACTAGTGGTTGCATTGCAATTTAATCGATGGGATTCAACCTGTACTAAGAAGAACATAACATACATGACAGTGATTACCAGTTAGTGATCAATCAATTTTCAACATTTTAGATTGATTATTCAATTCTCATTACAGAAACGAAATTTCATTTTATCATTCGATAATAATTATTATTATGACTGAATGATTCCGCCTTGTTCATTCACACAACAGAACGCTTATTGGATTCATTTGGTAAGTTGACTTATAGTTGTCAGATCACTATTCACAAAGGTTAATGCTTGTTAACATTGTTAATATGTAAATGATTTTATAATATGCGATTGAATTAATACTGATATCGTTTAGACATTATGGTGAGACTATAATTTACAGACGACTTTCGAGTGACGCTAAACTGACTTTGAGAGTGTTCACTTAATAACTAGGATGAAGTAAGGTTAGATGGTGGTTGGAGGTAGTCGACAAGAAACAGGGTTTCCAGAGTGTCGAGTTACCTAAACTGGTGACCACATTGCAACATGGAGGATAGCATTCGATCTGCACTAAATAAAGACTTGACACACATGACATTGATCACCACCCAGTGATCAATCAATTGTGATTAGGATCAAATAAGGGTGATCAACCTTTATAAGGAATTCAAATGATGATTTACAATTGATGGTTAAGGTTAAGAAATTAGATTTACGGTTTATCATCATGAACTGATATCAACTCTAATGCCAAGATGTGAATAAACCAAATGGATGAATGAATTTGGCGCCAAAATCCCAGAGTTGTTATATCAAATCTGATTGGTTCGTTCTAAAGTTATTATTGTTTCCGCTGATTTGTCAACATATAACTCCACTGAATATGGGAAATTCATTTCATTTTTATTTTAAATCTTGTATATTTATGAAGTACACTAAATGGAATATGGTAAGATCATTATACATTATACACTATACTTAATCTAATATTAACCATTCTAGGCGTTACTTTGTGTCGCTCAATCTCGTGGATTAGTTGAAGTTAGACTTTAACACTGTTGGATGCCGTCTCAGTGGTCTAGGGGTTAACCATTCGCGCGTGAAACCAGTAGGTCGTGGATTCGAATCTCTCAGGGGGGCGAGGTTGTCGATGTGCACTATTGAGGAGTCCCACAATAGGAATAAATGGCCGTCCAGTGCTTCCAGGTTTTCGATGGTGGTTTAGCTTCAACTGACTCATGATCTTAACCATTGAAGTTACTTTTTGATTAAGTATATTTCAAACATTGACGTGACAGATCATTATTTTGATTTTAGCGGGGTATTACACTAATAAGACAATATGACTGGTTGATGAGTTCATATTGTTGCTACATTGGATACTCTAATTGTATGTTATATACAACTACATTATAGTAGAGACACACGATTCAGGACCAAATACAGGGAACCAGTATAAATGCTAGACAATACTTAATACTACGTAGTCGCAATTAGTTACTCTCAGTCAGTTCAGAGTAAAGATTTTTAACAGAATAACAAATCGGCGTTTAATTAATCTGTTTGTTCACACTCGGTGACTAATCACATATATTTCCGCTACCATACACCAAATAGGCACAGATATATGCTTACTGCAGTGTCATCCATGTCGTGTGTGAGATAGTTATCGGTCTCAGGCAGTACAAGATCTTAGATTGATTGAAGTTAGATATTAAAATCATTGGATTGTACATCAGTGACTTAGAGGTAAAATATTCGCGCACACTGCCGGGGGTCCTTTGTTCGAGTCCCAAATGTGGGACCACTGATGCGCACTTCTGAGTCCTACACTAATATAACACGACCGTCCAGTGCTTCCAGTTTTTCCCTATTTATGCGTGACGTTCATATCGTGGCAACTCAATGATTTACAGGTTAAGTATTCACATTCAAACTCGAAGGTCCTAGGTTCCATTCTTTCATACGGAATCGTTGACTCACATTCTTGAGAATTACTATTCTAAGATGAAAGTGCCCACTAACCTAACCAGGTTTATAGTGGTGAATTGGCTCAAATCGACTTATGATTTCAATTGTGTAAATTCATTTAAATAAACCGTGTAAAACTCTTCAATCGATTCTTGAATAGACATCAGCTAAATTGTACTATGATAGAACATAACAACGGATAATATAGTCGTAAATGTTTATGCAATCAAGGTAAATTAACCAGTGTTAAGTGAGTATTGCTTGGATTAGTTTATAATTTCATTTCTATTTACTTATCCATTGTCAATCATCTTATTTTCATATTTTAGGAACACAGTTGAACATTGGTTAGCAGCAATTAGGAACGTTACAAATAGTAATCCAGTACAGAGATGAGGCTCAAATATTGAAACCAAATTATGTACTCAGTTGTATTTTCAAAATTATTGAACAACGTTTAAAGTTATTTAACTCTTTCTTAACACAATTACATCATATAGGGGTCAATTGAAGCTAGATCACAATGAAAAACCTGGAAGCACTGGATGGATGTTGTGTTCTAGTAGTGTGTATCCATGATCCCACCTTGTAAGATTCGAACCCAGGACTAATCGGTTCCGTGTATGAACTCTTCACCTCTAGACCAAAATTAAATCAATTTTGTTTGTTTGTGTAAACAATATACATAGCTAATATCTAAACTATAATTTAAACAGCTTCCTTAGAAGTAGTTTATTTCCTTTGATGGACTTCCCTTTTCATAAGACGTTTACTGAATCAGTATAAAGTATAGGTCAAGATGAATGTCTTTAATGGAGTTCGTTCTCTAAGATGAATGGTTCGATCATAGAGATTTCATCGTTCTTCTGAGCAACATCATCAGCACAAACTTTAAGTAGAAGTGAAGTGTTCAAATGTCTTCACATAGAACTCATAGCTTGTCCTGTAGACCTCTGTCTTGACTGAATTCAATTTATCAACCAATCAGGAAATTTATGAACAAACATAGGACTGAAAATCGAACCATTAGGAGATACAACTTGTAAAAAGAAGTAAACAATAACAGGTTTGAAGTCGACAAAAACTAGTCAACATCGATGTCTACAGGATAAGCCAATATTTGGAGAAATTCGAACGCTTCACTTCGATCTGAAGTTTTTTTCTTGATGATGTCGTTCAGAAAAATGATGAAAGTTCCATGACCAAATCATCCAGCTCAGATTAAAAAACTCCATCAAAATCATCCACTCAAGCTACAAACCATCTACAACATTTCAAAATAAATATCAACGTATTAAAGACAGGCTCTTTCAATTCTAGACTTCAATATCTCCTGCATAGTAATAGATTACATAATATACCACCCGCCCCCTTTAAAAATTCAACAACTTCCATTTTGTAAATGAGATCTAGAAGCATGACATTTGGGTGTAATTAGTCACTAAGTTTTTATGAAGGAAATATCAACCACGAAAATATACACTACTTACTATTGATTTACTTGATAAAAGTCATAAACAACACCCCTGAAGATTCATAACATATATTTATAATAATAAGCTAAGTTGATGTTATATATGAGAACATTGTATACATCAAAGTTTCAATAGTTAGTGTCTTTTGTAATCAAATATTTAATAAAATGACTATCACGATCATAAAGATTGATATCAATTGTTGTATGCTGATTCAGTGGTACAGAGGTCAAGCGTTCATGCGTGCGATTCAAGGTCCTAAGCTTGAATTCCGCGTGCGAGGTTGTAGATAACCACCACTCAAGGGTATCATATTAGGACAAAACAAACGTCCAATATTTCTAGATTTTCAATGATCATCTAGTATCGATCGATTCATGATCTCGATCGAAAAAGAATACATATAATGTTTCTTTGAAGCCTGTTTGCTTATCATAATCTATTTGGCACCAAGGCATTCAGTATCAATGTGCAAATGTCTAGGTCAAATGATAATATTTCACTGAAATTATCTTCAAGTATCAAAGCTGTTGCCACATTCAACGTTAACTAGGCTGTTAATTATAATATCTGTTTGAATATGTTATTAGATGATGGTCACTCCTTGTTGAATTTAAAGTTGACAGTTCGATGGACACATATAGTAAGCATATTTATATACTAATAAATTATTTCACACTTCCATTATGATTCATATTACTATCCACTCATGGACTTTATATTGGAGATGCTTTCGAAAACTTTCGAAATATAGTCCTGGCTACTTATATTATAAGTTAGTAGTATATCACATATTAGTTAATTATTATTGTAATCAGTGGCTTTATTCAACATTATATGCTTGGTATGGTATAAAATTCACAGCAAGAAGTATTATAACAAGTTCCCTTTTCCTATTTCTTGATCGACACTAGCGATCAATGTTGAGTGGTCGCCGGTTAGATGTTAGCATTTCAGGAGTCGTCATCTGATTAATGTATATTCATTCCGATACATATTGCCGGCAACCACAGTGTCATTGATTGTGCTCCTTTGTAACTTGTATAAGCGACATGTCGTAAACGTTTAACAAACGAACCTGAATAGGTTATGCGACTAACGGGCACAATGATTTGTTAAAACAAACAAGCAAACAGATATTTTTTTGAAATATGTGGATGGCAGGAACGATCAGCTCAGATATTACAGCATACCGTCTTGGGAGCATTTTGTGTTGATAATCAATTAAAAAGGTGTTTTATGAAGTCTCGAATAAACATCATATTAAGTAACTTTTGAAATACTGTGGTTTTCCCGCAAATAAACCTGATCAGTAAAATCTTAAAACGTTAATCATCACAGGAAATTTGTCTTGTTCTGTAGCTGACATCATTCTTACAAAATAGTTTGTTGGAAAGGTTTACGAAGATCGATCAATGAGTAGTCAGGAGTGTCATTTTCGTCTAATCCCTTAATGCTAATAGTATTTTGTCGATCAAGATGGCCATTCCTTTTTGAAACTTAAACAGCAGCACGAAACTCCTACAAAGTACCTCTGATTACCTCACAACGGAATAGATTATTATGTATGGACGACCTCCAAGTGACGCTAACGTGACCTTGGGAATGTCCACCTACTTACGAGAGCTGAATGAAGGTTATAAACCACTGTGAATAATAAAGATTATGATTTACAATTGATGGTTAGCGTCAAAATTAGGTTTAGAGTTTTCATCACAAACTGACATCAGCTAAATTGCCAAAATGGTATTTAGCCAAAGCAATGAATAAATTTCGCTCCAAAGTTCAATACCTGATATCCTAATTGTGATTGGTTTATCCATAAGTTATACTCTTGCGCTTACAACTGAGTTTCATGTATAACTTGACGTGAATTGCCTGACCCACCAACTTTTTGAATTTAACAAAACATTACTGATTTATTTATCAGTAGTTAAAAGTTATATACTAAAAGTTGTCAAAAGTTGATTATTTTCAAGCATCCATACGTTATACAAAATGTTGTACCCCTTTACACATAAACCATTATTGAAACTAGAATGAAATGGAAATGGTACCTATTAATGGTTGATAGTATTTTGAGAATATGTGATGATACAATTTAATAAAATTTACTATCAGAACTACATATTATAATATGTGGTCAAAGGGAAGGGAATTGATCTTCTGGTTAATCCCTACATATTGAAAACCGTATGGAGGCTTTGGAATTCTATATAGAATGGTTCTTCACGCATTTGATTAAGTTAGTAAAGTTGAATGACATCTTTAAATTTAGTAATGATTATGTTGAAAGTTTGTACTTGCCGCAAACCGACTTGAATCTGTATAATACTTTCAATAGTTCATTCAGTAATAAATGAATAACCACCGGTAACTAACGTAGTGACAATCACCTTAACAGATTCGAATCAAGATCTATCTATTTACGTAAAAAACGTACAGAATCAAGATATATATATGTATTCGTTGCAGCTTTTCATCAAGTTGTAATAAGTCATCATGAATGTGACTAAAGCACTGCTGACAACTTATCAGCTATTCGACAATACTTATTATCTTGAATATGTTCAGCATGATTATGCTTTCCATTCTGATTATTTTCTTATAGGCTTCCTAAAGTTTGTTTGACCAGCTATATATGATAAGAATGAAAAGAAACCTTTAAAAGATTCAATCAAGATAGCTGAGTCAATAAGTGAATAAGTTACGGATATGTAAATGATGCTAGAATGGTCAAGACGAAGATATTTCAACGTCAATTTTACATAGATGAAAACGAATTCGGACTGAAAGCCGCTGTTATAATACTTAGACTATATATGTGAAAGTTAGACTTCCATGCCGAATAGAAAAGCTTAAGTCATTGTTTCATAGATACAGTACAGATAGATTTTGAAAGCAATGGAGCGTAGGCCGTTGACCAACATTCTCCAACCCACTCTGTCTTGGGAATTCCTTTCTAGTTCTGTCCAATTTTTGTTCATTCTTCTCATATCTGTTTCCGATTCTCGGCGTAATATGCTGTTTGGTCTTTCTCTTTTCCTTTGGCTTTGAGGATTCCATGTGGGGGCTTGCCTTGTGACGCACTTGGGTGTTTTCCTCGATGTGTGTCATATCTAATTTCAGAGCTTCTGTCTAAATTCTTCCTTTGCTGGAATCTGGTTTGTTACCTCTCACAGCAGGTTGTTGTCGGGTTCTAGTACTAAAGTGAACATGAACTTGGATACATGTTCGTGTCATTCACGAGCATAGAATGAGGAGTAACGCGTGTCATGGATTCTATTGTTAAACATTATCTGTCTCTTCTTGTAAATTTTTCAGATCGCTTTGTGATAATGTTAAATATATAGCTATGTGGAGCAACTGAGTGAAATCCAACATGCTATAGTATCCAGCTATAAATGAAAACGTTTAATCTCAATATGAACTGAAGTTTATGATTCAAATGAGTTAACTATAAGAAATGAAGATATTGGTGATACATTTTAATTAATTCAGATATTCTCTGTACTAATTCAGATGGTTTATGTGTTGAGAATGCTAAATCATCCGAACTCTCGTTTACACGCTAAAGCACCTACTCTTACGCTTATTTCCAACTTCAAATACTGAAGTGCTATGCAAGCCCATATGAGTCACATTTTGACCTTGTTAATTATTCGCTTGTCAAATGAGCAAATGTGTGTGCAGTTTTTATCCTACTCATCATATATCTGTAATTTAGTTTTGGTCTAACAACTAATATCGCTTAACGTTTGGTTGAATGGAGTTGACTCACTTACCTTCTCCACCGAACGTTGTTTCGCTTCTCTGATCGTTTATCTGAAGGATCAATGACTGTATGAAACATACGTATTCGAAATCTGCTCTCTTATTTGAATTATTTAATTCTTTTCTACATCAACGCGAGTTAAGTTGATGATTATATACGAAGATTGACGACAATGTAACAATCATTCATACAATCCGATTAGAGTCAGCTCTTGGGCCACTGAAGTAATGAGCTCGTCATCAACAACATTG